CAAAATCAAATCCTCCACGGAAGACCATATGAATATTCCCTTCACGGCGGATAGACCTCACCAAGCTATTCCTATCCTTCATGTCCTGAACCGTCGGCTTCGACTTATGGCCAGCAAGCCGCAATGCCTCGAAACTGCATCTTATGAAGCAGCAGTCGTACCACCCACTGAAATTGCCCATTCATGCCGCGAACCGCTCGATGTTCAGCGGCGGTAAGAAGCTCATTATCCTGCTTAGCCCTGTCGTGGGGCATCCGGCAGTTCGTCATCGCATCGATATAGTTGTCCATGTCGATGGTGATAGCATTGTCCTTGTCCTGCTGGAAGCGTCGCCCAGTCAACGTAGCTCCTTCTGGTGCGTTCTGTAGATCATGCCAGTCTCCAAACTCAACCTGCCTCCTCAACTGCTGGATTATGTGATCGCAGAACTCTTTGTTGCTCTCCATGGCGAAAGCCATGAGCATGTCATCGACGCGCAGGCATCATTGTCCGAGCAACTTCCCTTGATTCATGAACTTGAAGGCGGCAGTCTCAAACTGCAGCTGCTCGAAGCCGATGTCTCGCAGAATCTGGAAAATCCTGGTGTACCAGGCCCTTGCCGCGTCGTCGGTGCCACAGATGCTCTTGTTGAGCTTGAGCAGTCGCCCCTCTTCGATTCCTGGTATGCTCGCGCACTGCAAGTTCCGGGGCATCTTGAAATAACCCCCCCTCCCAATCGTGACCCCCTGCAAAAAAGCTCCAGTAGCATCGCCAGTGTAACGCGAGAATCGCTTGCATGCGGCAATGCTGCATAAAAAAGTCCTGCATAAAGGGCGAACACGTCGGTGGATCTCTTCGTGGCTTCACATCGTGCTCCCCCTGGAAAACTTTGCCCAGAATGCGACATTTGGGCTGGAAATTAGAATCGCGATCACGGCCCTTGTTCGTCCATGCAGCTCTGCTCTCGATCTGTAGCGACCCATCGATATTCCTCGCCGTTGTCGGTGAAATCACTGTCACAGCGTCGCACTTAGTCCAAGTACTCCGCTCTTTGATGGGTGCGTTGAAACACTTCTCGGCACGTTCTCGGGTAGATCCGTCACCACGATTGAGCGCTTTCTCTATGCCCGGCTCGCCCTTCGATACTCGGTCAGCTCGTTCAGCCGCGAAAGGTTCGGCCATGACCGCGCTGGCGGCATAGGCGGCGCGCGATCTCTCGTTGTTCTCGGCGACAGTGATGTCGCGACCAATGTGCGTTCGCCCTCCGTGCGCAGTCTGGGATGCTGGCGCCTTCCTTGTAAGTCTCAATCATGCAGCTCGCTCTGCCTCGCCTTGCTCACGATTCGCTTGTAAGCGAGTTCGCTGTCGTTTTCGTGCATCTTGTTCTTCTGGCACTGCGCGAGGCTGAGGTCCATCGCCACTCGATCCAGACGGCGCGCTGCGTCTTGCCGCTGATGTTGGTGGTGGTGCCGGATTGTCCGGTCCAAACGACTGTGGTTGTCCTTGGGGTCCAGCACCTCCGGGAAACTGGTTTCTTGTTTGACAAAATCCGGATGCTGTCCTTGCCCATTGGAAGAATCACTCTTAGTCCGATACGTGCACTCCGCGAAAACATCCTCCATATCCACATCACGTACCAGAGGGACTTCAGAGGGTACTTCTAGACAGTTACGTGACATATCCTTGCGTCGGGCCTTCCTGTCGTAGTTAAGGATACGTCGCCGGAGAAGCCTGTCTCGAGGGATACCATCTTCTTCTGGTAATGGTGCAATGATGCATCGCGAAATCCCCGTCGCCAGAACTGCGTCATATGGACCACGGGGCTGTGCTCCAATGATAATATCCCATGTGCTTGGTATACTCCGTGATCATTCCGGCCACTCCGCTAGGTCATCTGCGTCATCAGGCTCTTGATATGGTGCCCCCCCCCCCCCACACACACACCATGCTCGGAGGGTCCTGTTCAGGTTGGTCAGGGTCTGGTGGCGGTTCAGACTGAAGTTCCCGTGGAGGCTGTGGTTGCATTCCCGGCTGCAAAGGCTTTCGTGACGGCACAAACTCCCAGGTCGGGCCAGAGAGGCACCCCAAAAGGCTTCCGACTGCGCCAGACGGCCCAAGAGCCGACCAAGACGGCCGAAGACGGCCCTAAGATGGCCCTAGACGGCCCAAGAGGCCTCCAAGAGGGCCTCCAGGAAGGCCCAAGGCCAAAATCATTTGTTCTGTCATGAGATTTTGAAGGATAGTGGCATGTGTTTTTTGTTGGCCTTCCGAAGGCACGAGACGGCCTGAGTGCCCCCAAAGATCGCCCAAGAGGCCACAGACGGCCCCAAGAGGCCCCCCAGACGGCCCAAGAGGCCCCCAAGACGCTCAAGATGGCCTCCAAGACGGCCCAAGAGCCCTCCAAGACGTCCTCCAAGAAGGCCCGAAAGGGTCAAAATGGCCACCAGACGGCCAAGATGACCTTCAAGATGCCCACGTGTTCCCCGAAGGCTTTCCAACAAACCGATTCGGGGAACACATGGTCCGATAGCTTGGCAGGTCTGGCCTCAACGTTCGGCCACATAGGCGCTTCCAAAAAGGCAGGGGGCGGCGTGATTCGCCGTATGCGTCTCCGATCCGCCGCCCCCTGTCGATTCATCACAAGGGTGCCTGGCGTGCTGAACCCTTTCGGTTTCGGTTTTGGTTTTTTCCCATAGAACTCCCCCTGGGGCTCCGGCGCGTCCCGCCGGGGTCCCGGAAGGATTGCCCAGGATCTTGCAGAGCTGGTTGCAAAGGGTTTTGCGGTCCAAGATGGCCTCCAAGATGGCCACGTCGGCCCAAGATGGCCTCCAAGATGGTCCAAGATGGCCTCCAAGTCCGCCAAAGATGGTCCAAGATGGCCTCCAAGACGGCCCAAGAGGGTCCAAGATACCTCCAAGTTCACCCAAGAAGCCTCCAAGACGGCCCAAGACGGCCCAAGAGGTCTCCAAGAGGTCCTCCAGGAGGGCCCGAAGAGGCCAAAATCATTGATTTCCCTTTGGGTTTTGAAAGATTTTCGCATTTGCCTCTTCTCGGCATTACGACGGCTCAAAACGACCCAAGACGCCGACAAGATTGCCCAAAGATCGCTCAAGAGACCTCCTCCAAGATGGCCCCAGAACGGCCCAAGAGGCCTCCGAGACGGCCCCAAGAGGGCCCCAAGACGGGCCAAGAGGCCTCCAAGACGGGCCAAGATGGCCTCCAAGACGGCCCCGAAGCGCCACAAGAGGGCCCCAAGCCGGTTCAGAGAGGCCCCCAAGACGGCTCCCGACGGCGTCAGACGTGCCAGGAACCCACCAAGATGGCCGAAGTTGGCTCGAAGCTGGCCCAAGACGGCCCAGGAGCCCTCCAAGAGGGCCTTCAGGAAGGCCCGAAAAGGCCAAAAACACATGTTGCCCTTAGGTTTTTGAAGGATTTTGAAATTTGCTTCTTTTCGGCCTTCCGACGGCCCGAGACGGCCCAAGAGCCCCTGAAGATCGCCCAAAGATCGCCCAAGAGGCCTCCAAGATGGCCCCAGAACGGCCCAAGAGGCCCCCAAGACAGCCCCAAGAGGCCCCCAAGACGGCCCAGGAGGCCTTTCAGACGCCCAAGATGGCCTCCAAGACGGCCCTGGAGCATTCCAAGAGGGCCCCAGGTCGGCCCAGAGAGGCCCCCCAAACGGCTTCCGACTGCGTCAGACGAGCCAGGAGCCCACCAAGACGGCCGAAGATGGCTCTAAGATGGCCCTAGACGGCCAAGAGGGCCTCCAGGAAGGCCCAAAAAAACAAACTCATTGATTTCCCATGGGTTTTTGAAGGTTTGTGGCATTTGCTTTTTGTTCGGCCTTCCGACGGCCCGAGACGGCCCAAGTGCCCCCAAAGATCGCCCAAGAGGCTACAGACGGCCCAAAGAGGCCCCCAAGACGGCCCAAGAGGCCTCCAAGACGCTCAAGATGGCCTCCAAGACGGCCCAAGAGCCCTCCAAGACGTCCTCCAAGGCCCGAAAGGGTCAAAATGGCCACCAGACGGCCAAGATGACCTTCAAGATGCCCACGTGTTCCCCGAAGGCTTTCCAACAAACCGATTCGGGGAACACATGGTCCGAGAGCTTGGCAGGTCTGGCCTCAACGTTCGGCCACATAGGCGCTTCCAAAAAGGCAGGGGGCGGCGGTGATTCGCCGTATGCGTCTCCGATCCGCCGCCCCCTGTCGATTCATCACAAGGGTGCCTGGCGTGCTGAACCCTTTCGGTTTCGGTTTTGGTTTTTTTCCCAAAGAACTCCCCCTGGGGCTCCGGCGCGTCCCGCCGGGGTCCCGGAAGGATTGCCCAGGATCTTCCAGAGCTGGTTGCAAAGGGTTTTGCGGCCCAAGATGGCCTCCAAGAGGCCCAAGAGGCCACAGACGGCCCCAAGAGGCCCCCAAGACGGCCCAAGAGGTCTCCAAGACGCTCAAGATGGCCTCCAAGACGGCCCAAGAGCCCTCCAAGACGTCCTGCAAGAAGGCCCGACAGGGTCAAAATGGCCGCCAGACGGCCAAGATGACCTTCAAGATGCCCACGTGTTCCCCGAAGGCTTTCCAACAAATCGATTCGGGGAACACATGGTCCGAGAGCTTGGCAGGTCTGGCCTCAACGTTCGGCCACATAGGCGCTTCCAAAAAGGCAGGGGGCGGCGGTGACTCGCCGTAGGCGTCTTCGATACAACATACAACGGTGCCTTAAGGAGCCCAACCCAGGCAGAACCAAGAAATGGGCGTGGGGTACGATCATGGGATCAGATGGTCATCTGCAGCGAGAGACCCCACCACATCTACCAACTTTCTTCCAGCCCAAGTAGACCCTAGCAGCGCAAATGCTACAATTGCTGGCTGAGGGGGTACGCTGTGGCGAAAAGACCAACACGAAAAAAAACACGCTTCAGCGCTGCTCCATCCATAGCCACAACGTCCTTCTTCTTACGCTTTGGGTAATTACGCACTGTCCTCCTCCTCTCCCCCTCTCCACCTCCCCGCAACAACCCCTCTGCACCATATCATATGAACAACTCCTCCTCGTCGCACCGCGAACCGTGTGGATCGGGCGGCCCAGGCGCTTCGTCTGCGCCTCCCTCACAATTGCGGATGGTGATGCTTGGGACGTTCACCATTTACCCAGACGTGGAAAGCGGAGGGTCAAAATCTGTGGCCCCCGACTGAGCGCCGCGCACATGTGTCGTGGAGCAGCCAACAGTTTCATGGGCGGATGGGGCTTGTTTCCGCAACGCCGATATCGCTTTGGCGAAACCAGTGCTCGTCCCTGTCGTTTCCAACGTCAAATCGGATCGAGGGCAGCCCGCGCAGCACATTCCCGTTTTGAGAAATTCTGCAAGCGCCTTTTGAGAATACGACTCTAAATTGTCCGACAGCCGCGCGGATCAAGGGCCGTCCCATTTAGAAGCGGGGTTCTCGCTGGACATCCTTGGAACCTGGTAGCCCTACCTCTCTGAATGACCCGGCCCCTCTGAACTTCATATCGCGAGAACGAGGACGGTCCCCTCTCAAGGCGGCGCTCTCGCCTGAATGTCGAGTCCATGGAACGCCCCTGTTCAAAGACGAGGTGGTTTCTGCAAGGGAAGGCACTCCTGCAGGGACTTCTGATTGAGGGTGAGACTTAGGCTGGGAGGGAAAGGTGTACTACAGCATCGTTGATGCATCCTGGGCTTACCATGGTCTCTCTCGTCCTCCTCGTCCAACCTCTTGCGCCCCCCATCGGGGCGGAATGGCGCAAGCATTTAGGATATTTGATCCCCTTTTTCGTGCGCCCCTTGGCGACTTTCATCTGCACATTCCCAAAACGGGACCAATGGTAAGATGTGTCGTCGGCATCCTGGGCGTGATAATGTAAACCACCAGCACGCTTCACATCCGCCCACGCGCCTGTAATGTTCAGTTCTTGGAAATACATGTCTGCGCACTGAGTACCCAATACGTGCACCCCCGCGTCAACACGAAGCAACGCGCTGTCAGTGCGCTTCCGTGGGATTTGAATCAGAACATGCTTGCCTGGCTTCATCAAATCGAACTTTTCTCCATGGATGTTCTGCAAATGAGGATCACCCGTGGCGGAGGCAACAACACCTCCAGCGGCGGACACGGGCGCCGTCCCCCCCGCAGCGGCGTGCCACGTCGGCTCTTCGGGTATCATCGGGGCCGCACCCCCCGCAGCGGCGTGCCACGTCGGCTCATCGGGCATCATCGGGGCCGCCCCCCCCGCAGCGGCGTGCCACGTCGGCTCATCGGGCATCATCGGGGCCGCCCCCCCCGCAGCGGCGTGCCACGTCGGCTCTTCGGGTATCATCGGGGCCGCACCCCCCGCAGCGGCGTGCCACGTCGGCTCATCGGGCATCATCGAGATGCTCGGGCTGAGCGTCACGCTAGGCGTCGGTACCGGTGTCGCTGTTCCTCCGCAGTCGCTGCTCCCACTGTGCGGGTATCTGCAGCTGCCCGCACTGGTCACCGCGGCACATGCCATCTCTGTGAGGTAGACTGTGCCGCAGGCAAGCGAGCAGCAGCGTTGCATGTCCTTGGCCCACGATGTGCAGAACTGAATCGAGCTTGTGCAAGAATGCTGGCTCCCCCAGTACGGGGAGTTCTTAATACAAATGTCATCGTTATATGGTGGGCAATCCGCCCGATCTGGAGATGTTGGATCGTGAACGGAGCTCCACGGAAGCGTCGTGGTCATCAAAGAAAACTTCGACGATCCATTCATGGAATAATTCATCGATCCGTTTGTCATTTGGTATTCATCCAGCGTCTGTACTTGCACGGACATAGCAACAGGAATGCCCTGGACAAGGACTATCGACCTAGCCAACCAAGCATCCCTCTTGGCTGCCATCCGACTCCAAAGGAGTCAGAGGGGACTCTATGCGTATGTAATAGTAGTAGTGTGAACGCCAATGTGGAAGGAAGCTGGAGCTCAACCATCAATTTGAACCACACGGCAAGACGATCACGTGTTTGAAATCTTGCTGGACATCCTCTCCCTCCGATCCGATCCATTACCGCAGACCCAGACCTCCTCCTCCTCTCTTGCGCAGGAGGGGGAAGGGATACAACTCCCCAACCACCCTCTTTGCTCTGAACATTTGGACTGGAAGCTGAAAAGTGGGGGATGAGCCCACCCCTCTCCCCCTTCCACCCTTGGCTGCGGAAAAAAAGAGAGACTCGAACACTGCCCCTGAACGATGACCTGGGCATCCTAAAGATGACGCTGTAACCCGAACTCGCAAAACCGGACACCCTGACACCCAATCCAGACACCAAGCCGTGACCCTGAACGCTACCCGTGACACTCAAAACAACCGATGCTCTAAATATATCCCTCAACACTCACCCAATCTTCCTAAACCCAACCATGACAGAACCCTAAAACTAAACACAATCAGCCGAATGTTGATTGTAACAGCTGCTCCTAACACCCTGAATATAACCACTGTCCATAACATGAAAACCTCCCCCCTCAAGATTCACCGTAACACACTACGCAACATCCTGACACCCTCATTAAACGTTATCCTCAACCATAGCTCCCTAACACAGGCACGCATAGCGAAACCCTGACCCTGCCCCCTAAACCTCGCCCTGACACCCGAACCCCAACACCCAGACCCGAACAACGCAACAACAACCCGAACCCGCTAAACATAGCCCGTCAAACCAGGCCTTCCAGCCTAAACGCTACACCTAATCCAACCGCTCTTGCCCGAAACACCTGGCCCTAACATGCTACACCCTAACGCCCAAGCCCTACCACCTTACTCCTAGCACTCAAACCCCAGACTTCCAACCCACACCTATCTGACCCTATGCACTGCCCCAACGCATTTAAGCAACGTGCATCGGCTACTCCAGCAGAAGTAATCCATCGCAGGATACTTGCTGTAGCTTGCATCAAACAAAAGTAGTCTAATCATCATCATTGTGTTTCTGGTTGACGAGGTTGTTCAGGAGGAGGAGAATGGGTGAAGAGGTGGGGGAGAAGGAGCAAGACAACGGAGGAGGATCAAGGGATGACAGATCTACTATCTGCAGCATCAAAGACCCGACCTTGACGACAGGATCGACCGATGGTCAACTCATCGTAAAAAAGAGATGCGGGGGGCCGGGCGAGTCCCGCTCGAGTCTCCTGCGAATTACTGACAGACGCTACTCCAATTCAACTTATCCGCGATTCATTCTCTTATGATTATCACGATGATGCTGGTGATAGCCACGGCGTGTCGAAGGTGATGGCGAGGCTGCCCATGTTCGCGATAATGATGCCCATGATCAGAAATGCGGATCATGACGACGATGTCGATGATGATGACGAGCAGCATGAGGATGACGTTTCTGTGTGAGGAGTCCTCGCGGCTTTCTCACAGACGATGCTCCTATCCAGCAAATCCTCGCCGACGGCTGATTATGACGACGACGACTGACGAGGGTAATGGTGATGAGGACGGAGACATAAGGTTGATGACGATGGTGATCATGACCAGGATGAGGATGATCATGCTGACGATCCGCGACAGAACATGATCTTAGTGGTGATGATCATGATGATGACAACTGGCGATGGTGATGATGACGACGAAGACGATGATAATGAGGAGGATGGGTGTCCCTTCCTGCGCGGGGGTCCCCAGAGAAACTAGGAACACCATTGAGGATCAAGCCCTAACAAGATGATCCGAAGCCCTAAAGTTAGCATCCGAATCCAAAACCCAACCCTGAGCCCCAATCGTGGCCAAAGCGAGGGAAGGGACGTGGGGGAGGCTTACAAGCAGACCCGTTTGGAAGGAACAAAAGATGCAAATGTCCCTCTTTTCAAATGATGTGTCTACCGTCTACCTCTGGCTGTCTCTTCTGCATAGATCTGGGCCCATCTGGTCACCCGGTGTTCAATATAGCCGGAAAGCGCGCGGAGCTCCTGAATTGCCCGGGGTTGCCCATGTTCCCGTTGAACTGGCCCTGCAACTGAGGTGGCATGTTGGAGCCGGTCGCGTTGGCGCCTGCTTGTTGAGGACCACACAGCTCCTTCTTGAGAGTCCTCACGGACTCCTCTAGCTGCGCCTGCTGAGACCTTCGATTCGAGCGCAGCTGCGCTTTCGAGGGAAGGAGGGGAAGCAGGGAGGATCTGCACGAGGAGAGTGATGAAGCGACTTTGGGGCGTACCCAGGGCAGGGGGTCTTAAAGGGTGGGTACCACACACGAGCCAAATCTTTGATATAAGAAACCTATGGGCACGTTAATCGTCAAAATCTGAGCTTCCCGTGGGAAACTTCCGTGGGGCACCTGCTGATAGGCGGGTTTCTTATCTGAGCTGCCTACTAGAGATCCGGGAGGTGGGGTTCGAGGGATATCAATCTGGACGGCCCTTGGAGAAGGTAGGATAACAGCCTCAAGCTGGGTTCGCTCCCTAACCCCGTGTTAGGCGGCTGAAGCAACCTTCCACGCACCCTCGACTGAGGAGAGGGGAGGGAGAAAGAGCAGGGCAGGCAGTCGGCCGCAGGGACATCGGAGGCACTGAAAGGCAACGTCGGCGGGCACGGGACAGTTGCGTTCCCTGCGGGGGGTCCGGGCAGGACACTGCCCCTTGGGTGGAGGACCAGCAAGAGCGAGGACGGGGCGGGGGAAGGGAAATGTGGAGGAAAATTATAGATGGGGGAGGGAAGGAGAGGAAGAGGAAAGCAGGGAGGTGGCCCAGGTATGCAGAGGAAGACGAAGAGGAACGGGGCTAATGGGGCCGAGACTGGAGAAGGACGCTGGATAGACGAGGCGGCCGGACATCAACTGTACCGACCACACTTCGCGCGTCATAGAACCCCGTTCAAACGTCTGGGCACTACATACCGTAGGGGATGAAGAGAAGTAGCAGACCGAGCAAGATGGTGAGGAGGTGCGGGATGGGATGCGGTGACGAGAAGCAAGAGGAGGTGTAGCAGGGAGAAGGAAGGAGAACAACAATGTGGATGACAGAAAGTGCCCAGGGCAGGCACATACATAAATCTGCAATGCTGATCGGAAAGCCGAGTGCCAGGTCACTCCGACATCTCGAGTGAGGTCTCTGGGATGGACTCAGCCCCGCGGAAGGATGAAGAGGACGATGAGGCATCGAGCGCCCAGGAATTCCGCCAGTGGGTCTGGCACGCTGAGAGCCACCTGAGGGCTGAGGCGGAGGGCCCCTGGAATGCCCTGGAATCGAAGGGCCCATGTCAGCGTCTGGCCAGGCCCGTCATAAAGGGCCCCGAATTGCCGGCCACTGACCATCCTCGTCTCCCCCTCCTCTGGCTCCCGCTCTCGCCTCCCTGCCTCCTCCTCTTCCTGCTTTTCCTCCAAGGTCCCTGCTCTTCGCGAACGGCAGAGGTATCCATGTCCATGCCCTCGCGGTCTGGACTCCGAGGCGCGATCCTATGGGCACGTGATCCCATGAATACGGTCCGCCAGGGGCATTCGTGCACAGCGGCCCCTTCTCCGTGGGGCCGCGGCCGAGAAGTCCGGACCGCGAGCCCGTGGTTGTGGACAGCTTTGCCGCCCGCGAGGTCCCCCCTGCCTCCTCCTCATCCTCCTCCTTCTTCTCCTCCTCCTCTTCCTCCTCCTCCTCATGCTAATCATGATCATCATCCTACATCCCTCGGCAAAATGAACCTCAAAAGTGCACACGGTCTGGGAGGGCGCAACTCGGAAGTCCCACGTTGACCGACATTGGGGAGGCGTCGCAGACAGGTACCCTGCGCGCAATGCCACCCAAGCCCAGGACATCATATCGACAAAGACACTGCGTAACACATTGTTGAGGCTGATTATGTCGGGGGTAGTAGGTCCTGGGCATCCAGAACTTACTGAATAATTGTTTTGTTCTGTTGTCCCTTTCCCCCGTTTGACTCGACCACGACGTTTTTAAACACGACGCCCCAAAATGTGGACGTCAAGCAGGCAGCATCGCGATACCTGAAATCATAATGAAAACGGTCAGAACGCATTGAAAACGGCGCCCTGCACGGACAGAAAACGTCGATCTCACGAACGGGAAGAAACGCCCCCAGCGTTTCCGAGATCATCTAAGGTCCAGAAATGCTGCCCGTCAGCCCCCGAGTTGTCCCGCCCTCTCGGGCTCAGCGAGGCCAGGGAGCGCGCCAACTGGCCCACGGCAGAGGGCACTCGGCAGTGAGGGCGGCGGCTCTGCGGAAGAATTGCACCACGGTGCCTCTCGGATCGGATGGAAGGCAGTCGCGCGCTCGCAAGCGCGCGCGCAAGCGTTCCCCAGGCGCCGCAGCTGGCAAGGTCATGCAAAAGGCAAACGTGAGGAACAACCAGCAAATTGCCAGGAAAAAACGACAACGACGACAACACCGGGACACCGAGTGAGACAAAACACCAACGGCGACACTTTCACATCACAACCAGGGGGGGTACATCGTCCTTGCCCTGGGTGATGACGGAGGGGAGGGGGGTTAGGCAAGGAGGAGTTAATGAATCAACTCATGTAGCTGAATTTTCCCTGCGCCTCCTGGCGCTGGAAGCGCCCAAGTATCCAGCAAGGCGCCCTGCGGCAAGAACGAAAGCAGCTACACGCAGCAGATTTCGACCCCCCACCTTTTCCCGATCCCCCCTTCATCCGCCCCGAGCCTTCTCTGGTGCATCTGGCCGGCATGGCGCTCGCAAGGCCGCGAACACGATCAGGGCGCGTGTCAGAATTTCGCCCCGCATGGGCGTGTCAGGACCGGTTAGGAATTGGCAGCGGCGTGCGAAAACCGTAGTGCGACTGCCATACAATGATACATACCAAAAACGATCTATCAGCAACAATCCTTGGATTGTATGACGGGTATTGCTGCCGCCATGGCCGCCAAGTATTGCTGCCGCCATGGCCGCCAGGTATTGCTGCCGCCAGGAGACGGCAGGAGAGGGGCGGACAGATCCTGTCCCAATGCTCTGCGTTCTTGTTATCGCTCACTCGCACCATTCAAGGGGCCCTGGGACACACAAACAAATACACACAAATAACAGGATTCCGTATATTTTCCTATATTTTCTGGTTTTTTGTCTTCCCTCCCATTTCCCATACTTTCCCATATCTTCTGGGGAATCGACGATTAATTGTGTCAATGTGTTTTTTCCCCTTCTGAACCATGCTTTTCACCATCAGCGCGCTTTGCCCGATCTGACCGGTGAGCGACGAAAAGAGGTCGATCATACGGGAGATGCCACAGCAACCTGGCGCGGTGGCTTGCGCTGGCCACCAGCGTGGCACGCCGCGTTGGAAAGAGCGCGCTTACGCGGGACCTTACGCGAGCAACTTGCGCGCGAATGTCCGCACATCTGGGTCGCTCCGGGAAACTCGCGGCGGTCAACGCGTAGCAGGCACGCGTGCCGCCGAGCGGGGTCGCCCGCTCGCGCGCGGGGCCCGGAGCGAAGCTTTAGTGTTTAAGCCTCGCGGGGCTCGGGAGATATGTAGGGCGAGGTGGGAAGAGGAGGGACTTGGGGGCGTCTTGGGGGGGGTGGACTTGATGGGCACCATAAAAACCGAGATAGACGGGTGACGACGCATATCGTCACATAACGATTTTCGCGAGACCACCCGCACGTCAACAGTAATCCGACCGACAGCGAACAGCCAGAGTTGTGGAGGTGCCCGTGAAAAAATGCGACCAGCGTTCAGTTCCCGAGCCCGGTGCCCCTCCAGACTGCGCAGACGCGCGATTGGAAATTGCGTTGGAGGAGGTGCAGCTGCTTGCCTCATCCCTCCGAGGGAGGAGACCTGTACCATGACTCCTTCGAGTCCCCACATTAGCTTGTTTCCCGTCGCGGCGCGGCAGAGGCAATCCGCTCGCGCGTCGAGCAATTCCGGGCTGCGGAGTTGCGACTTGTCCCGCATGCAAGAGGGGGGGGGGGAACAGCAGAGGGCGGCCGCTGAAGGAAGGAAGAACGAGGAGGTGTCCTTTCTTCATGTTCGGTCTCTTGCGGCCCTTGCAGTGCCCTGGGACTGTCAAAAAACGACTCGTGAAGAAAGGCTGGTCCTGGGGAATGGGTCGAGACCTTTGGGGGTCGACGATATTCCCCAATCAGAGCTTGCCTCTGTAGGGGTCCTGGCGGATTCATATGGTTGGGTGAGCTGGGCCGCCGATTTCGGTGGCCGGGGCGGGTGCCTGGGTGCCTGGGTGCCCGGGTGCCCGCGGGTACCCTTCGTCCCGGGTGCCCTGGTGCCCGGGTGCCTGGGTGCCCAGGTGCCCAGTTGCCCGGGTGCCCGGGTGCCCGGTAGCCCTATAACCCTATAGCCCTACATCCATATAGCCCTATAGCCCGATAATCCTGTAGCCCTATAGCCCTATAACCTTACAGCCCTATAGCACGAATAACTCTATAGCCCTATAGCCCAATGGCCCGATAGCCCTAAAGCTCTATAGCCTTATAGCCTCATAGCCCTATAGCCCTATAACCCTACAGTCCTATAACCCTATAGCCATATAGCCCTATAGTCCTATAGCCCTATGGCCCTATGGCCCAATAGCTCTATAGCCCTATAGCAATATAGCCCTATAGCCCTATAGCCCAATAGCCCTACAGCCCTATAATCCTATACCCCTGTAGCCCTATAGCCTTATAACCTTATAGACCTATAGCCCCATGGCCTTATAGCCCTGTAGCCTCCCAGCCCCATATCCGAAACAACATCTTGGGGATTGTCCCGTGTATCATGCAACAAATCAACACGTCGTGGGTCTGGGGACGGAGTAGCGAACCCAGCATGAAGGAAAAGCCCCCTTGGGCTCGAGACTCTCTTCGTTCGAATCGAGGCTGGCCCCCCGCGCTTCGTGGGTCGGACACGATGGGCGCAGACACGTCCAACCAGGCCCGTCTGGCCGCAGGCTTGCGCATCTAGGGTGGGAGGGTGGGGAGCGCGAGGAAGAAGACGGGGAGACACCTGTGGCATGCGTCCCCTGCATCATCACTAATTGTCCCAGGCACTACCGCCCCAGCCTCAACTTTTCCCTGCTTTGTAACCCGTTGAACGCTGAGGAAAGTAAGCGATGGCAAGTCCTACTTTGGGGCAACTCTTAGAGTTCATTTCAATCATAGCGTCCCTCCCGAACGACATGGGAGAACAAGGCAAACGGGACAACACGCTTCCAGGCGACGGATGACGAAGAGCTCCCTGGGCCCGGAACTCGAGCAAGGCCGTGGAGGGGGCAAATGGCGGAGACCGACGCCGAGCGCACGGCCACTGCTTCCCCACAGGAGCAGCAGAGGCGGCAGCAGCAGCCAGGTCACCTGACGTCGCCAGCCGCGCCCCGCGATGCGCGACGCGCGGCCATCTTCGCGCCCTCGCGCCGCCGCCAACGAGAGGGGCGCCTCTCCGGCCCCGGCCGCGACGCGCGACGCGCGGCTTTCCTGGCAACCCAGCGGGAGTGCTGGAGCAGGCCCACGCCCTCGTCGCTGCCGGGCTGGGCCGGCGCGTCGGTCAGCGCGCCGTGGCCGGCTGCCGCGTCCCAGCCTCAACCACCGGGGCTTCCCGAGGCCGCGACTGGAGATCTGTCAGGATGGCGAAGATGAGATCGAACCTCGGCGGTGTGAGGAGGGGCGAGGACCCATTGACTGTGACTCATTGGGTAGATTCCCGCGTATACGCGGCGCTTGTCCCTTCTGCGAGCGACTCCGACCTATAGCGGTAGGCCTTACGGTCCTTCGCAGCCAGAGAGGCCCCGCGCGTAGCGCCTATAGGCACTGCCTTTATGGTACGCAGAAAACTGTAGACAGGGACCTTCCTGCAGGCAGGAAGGAAAGGAGGGAGGCAGATTGGGGAGTAGGGCGAAGAAGATTGTCCTGATGCTGGTGAAATTATCGTCCAATCCCTGCTCAACGAGACGCTGGCAGGTAACGCGACAGTTTTGGGCCCAGCTGGGGTTGGGGTTAGTTGAGGAGCACTGCGCAAAACTGCTCATCAGACATGGAGGAGGACACCTGCCAACCTGTGCGACATAAGGGGCCTTGGCTGCCGCCGTCGAAGTCGAGGGCAATGGAGGGGTCGGGAGGAGAATGACATGGAGTACGAGAAAGACGAGTCAGGGAAGGAGGCGACGGGGACAGGGAGGAGGGCAGGGAGTTGAAAATGACTCTTCTGGCCAACCGACTGCCACCCCGTCGCCTCGGTCCCTCCCCTTCCCGAACAAACGACTGGATGAAACCTTACTCGACGGTTGACGCCTCCATAACCTGAGACTGATCGCGACCAAGACCATTTGCTGGCGCCCCCACTCCCACCTATAATCTACCCGCCTCTCCGCTTTGTCGAGCTAGTGGCTCCCACCTTCCCCCTCCTTCTGGTCACCTTAGGCTTCGACTTGGACCGTCGTTCGAGGTATACGTAGACTAGCCACGAGCCAAGACAATGACACACCGCACATACCCACCGACACGCGCACGAGCGACGAGCATTCTGCCAGCGAGGCTGCCGTAGAACAGGACCAACCGATCTAGGAGCCGTTGGACTTCTAATTACCCCGATTGCCAGAGTGTGCTTTCCAGATTGCAGACCTCACTTTCGCGACCCACGACGACCTTGTCGGCGTGTGTGAGACGCTGTTCCGTTTGAATTGTCGTCGTCGTCGCCGTCGCGAGCGTCCTCGTCGTTGTCACCGTCGTATCTCTCCCCGTCCCCGACTCTCCGGGTCCTCCTCCTCAAGTAACCCAGTCGGACGGACATCGAACAACTTTGCATTCAAGTCGAAAGGAACCCCTGTCCCTTGATCCCTTCCCCGCCTGGGGGGGGAGGGGGGTCCCATGGGGGTCCCGAGGGTTTTCCCTGGGCGGGTCCCAGGGGGGGTCCAGGAGGGGTCCTGGGGGAAGTCCACAGGGGTCCTGGGGGGCCCGGGAGTTATGACCTCCGCCCCTCTGCGACCAAGACGGCCCAAAAGAGCACCAAAGAGCCGCAAGAGGGGAAACACCGACCGACATGCGAAGCCCACTGCCCCGAGAGGCAACCAGAAAGCTTCAAGAGGCGCCCCAGATCCCTCCAAGAAGACCCCAGAGCTAGTCAAGACGCCACAACGCAGCCTCAAGAGCACCCCCAAGAGAGCCCCAAAGGGTTTTAATATTAAATTTCCTTGGAACGTGTTTTCAATGTTTGTTTCGAGTGTTCGCCTCTCGAGCATCTCATGCTCCAAGAGGGCCCAAGAAGTCCCCAGACCGCTCCCAAATGGCCCAAGAGATCCAAGATGGCCCAAGAAGGCCTCACCCCACAAGGCCTCAGACACTCCAAGACGGCCCAAGGAGGCCGCCTAGATCGCCCCAAGACGGCAAGCGCTCCAGACGGCCTAAAGAGAGCCCAAGAGGGCCCCAAGTCGGCCCAATAATACTTCTACACGACTTACAAGTCCCCCCAGCATAAGCCAACAAGGGCCACAAGGGCCCCCACGAGGGCTCGCGAGCGTCGTCGTCATCGCCGCCGTCGTCGCCGTCGTCGCGGGGGGAGAACCTTGTGGTCCGGGGCTCGAGACTCCCGACCGCAACCCCGGGGCTCAGCTTCGCAGCTGGCACGAGCACCCATTTCAAGACGTACCCAGTGCCGCCACACTAGAGGATGCCTGCTCCAGTTTCGCTCCACCGCCCCTCGCGAAGCTCTTCTCCTTGTATGTTTCCGAATCTCCCCACGGTTTTCGGACTCTGGGGCTGTCGAACTCTGGCTGGCCCCTGGTGCTGAACTGCCTCTCCTGCTAGCATACACGGTCGGCGGCACCGGCCGCAAGGCCTTCCCAGTCACTTTCACGATGCACGCCTACGCAGCGCATGCCCTGCCACTCGAGCCACCGTCGAAATGCAAGGCCGAGGTGAAGTCGATCATGGACTTGTTAGGAAAAGGTCTCACAAACTCCGCTGGCCACGTCTCCTGCACATCCATTGTGCAGTTGGCCATACTGGTCTGCTATTACGCTGTATCCCCTCCGACGCCACGCCACGAGGTCAGCCCAAAGGTCAAGCGAAGGCCATACAAAGCACATCACGTCATGACGCTATCGCATGTGCGACGCACCAAATGGGAAAACCAACAGGTGCCGGTACCGCTACTCACAGAACCTCTCCTGAGGTGCGCTCTGACAAAAAATTTCAAGGAACAGCAGCGGTGGCGACGAGGCCCTCATGGGAGGCCCCCAAAAATGACAACGGAGCGAGGGTAGCAGTATGGGTACCTGTTCCTCCTCTGACCTCTTGCGAAACTGACTTGCGACGGCTGACATCCCAGTACAAAAGCAATGGCCTCGGCGTCGCACCCCAGTGGCACTTGACGCCTGGCCCTTTCTATGGGCGTGGGGCAGCGGACTGCCATCCACAACTCGTCCACAAAGCTTTCAGAATTTCCCAGCAGGCACCATGCTCCCCCCCAACCTTTTTATGCTCGGGCTGCTGCAATAAAAGATCGATGAAAATCGAAGCCCCCTTTTTGGCCCCTAAGGCGCCTGCGTATTCGAGGACGGCCATAGGAGCAAACGCGGAATTTCCTAAGGAACATCGAGCCCCTTCCGAACCCAAAGCGGCCCTCCCCCCACCGCCTCATTAGAGCCATCCTAGATGGGGTCCGAAAAAATGGGGTCTGAGGATCGCGCCGCATCGCCGATGCATCGCCGATGCGGCGCGATCCTCCAACCTCATCTGTTTGGACCCCTATATCCGGACCCCATGCGGATCCCGTCTGTTCGGACCCCATTCGGACCCATTTTTTCCGGACTCCGAATTCATCTCATAGTTCTTCTCCTCCGCCTTCGCGTCTGACCTCACCTCCGCATCCCCCCGCGCTTCCCCCCTTTCATGCTCCTCCACCTCCGCCTCCACCTATCGTACACCTCCTACAGTCAAAACTGAAAGTAAGGATGCCCGATCAGGATGCAAGGGCCTTGGACGCCCATGCCGAAGCTTTTAGCGGGGCTGGCCATCGAACGCGGTCAAGAATGTACTGAAGATGCAGTCATGCAAAGATATCCTTGAAACATCGCTCATCCTTGCTATCGGTATCGGCTGTAATTCTGATCGTCATCCTTATCATCAGAGTGAGGGGGCCGAACGGTCATTCACTGTCCCTGGGTGCGTGGCTGAAGTGGAATTCCACGGTGCGGATTATTGTTGTTGTTGATGTTGTTGTTGTTGTTGGTGTTGTTGTTGTTGTTGGTGGTGTTGTTGTTGTTGTTGTTGTTGTTGTTGTTGTTGTTGTTGTTTGTTGTTTGTTGTTTGTTGTTTGTTGGTTGTTGGTTGTTGGTTGTTGGTTGTTGTTTGTTGTTTGTTGTTTGTTGTTTGTTGTTTGTTAGATGTTGTTGTTGTTGTTGTTGCTGTTTGTTGTTTGTTGTTGTTGTTGTTTGTTGTTTGTTGTTGTTGTTTGTTGTCGCCGTCCCACCCGCAACCCGCCCCGCGACCCACCCGCGACCCACCCCGCGACCCACCCCGCGACCCACCCGCGGCCCACCCGCGACCCACCCGCGACCCACCCCGCGACCCACCCCGCGACCCACCCCGCGACCCACCCCGCGACCCACCCGCGACCCACCCGCGACCCATCCGCGACCCACCCACGACCCACCCCGCGACCCACCCCGCGACCCACCCCGCGACCCACCTTCGACCCAAACCACGTTCAAGGTACAAACCACCATTTTCGGCGCCTGCGGCGGGCTTTTTGTTGCATTCCTTCCAGGTGGAGAGCCCACCACCCACCCCGCGACCAACTCGCGACCAACCCGCGACCCAAACAACGTTCAGGGTACAAACCACATTTTTCGGCGCCTGCGGCGGGCATCTTTTGCATTCGTTTCAGGTGGAGAGCCCGCGGCCCACTCGCGACCACGTTCAGTGTACAAACCAAATTTTTCGGCGCCTGCGGCGGGCATCTTTTGCATTCGTTCCCGGTGGAGAACCCGCGGCCCACCCGCGACCCAAACCACGTTCAGTGTACAAACCAAATTTTTCAGCGCCTGCGGCGGGCTGCTTTTGCATTCCTTCCAGGTGGAGGTGGAGAACCCGCGACCCACCCGCGACCCAAATCACGTTCACTGAACAAACCACCGCCGGCTCGACGACGCCCGTGTCGCCCGCGCCCGCCCCCTCACTCTTATCCGCAATTGCGGGCCTTGGTAATTTTCGGCTCTCCCCAAAAGAACCTTGATCATCATCCTTCTCATCATAACCCAATGTTCCTCATTGTCCTCATGAGTCCTGCCTCATCCAGTCCCCGTGCGCATTCCTCATTGATTCCTCCGATTCCTGCCCACAACTTTCGAACAACAACAACGGGGATGGGATGGAGGAGGGCAATAGTGGAGAACAAATTCGGCTCGACGTGAAAAGTTCGAGTGGCAGGTCTGAGCTGGAGACTTCTCTGTCTCCTTCCCACCGATCTTTTCCAGCTGCTGTGCGAAGTCGTGCTTCACGTTGTCGAGCCGCTTCTCCAGGTCGACGATGGTGCTCTGAGGGGCAACGGTGTCCTCCCGAGGAAGATGCTGAGGGCCCGGGGAAGCGGAGGACTTGATCTTGACATCCAATACCAAAATCCCGCCAAAAACGGACTGCTGCATCGAAAATCTGATTCGATTATAACACGCCTGTGCCGTCCAGATCTACCGTGACCCTCGAACGCTTAAGATGGAACCCCTTGCAGAGTATGGACCAGACTTCACGCCTGCAACCACTGTGGGAGGACCAGGACTTGCCCACCTTGTCCACCAGAGCTCTCGAGGCACTCGCTACACTGCTAGAACTTGCCAACCCAGGTCCAGGAGCGCCCAGGCCCCTGGTCCCAAGGAGGCCCTGCGGAAGCGGGGCGAGCCCAAGAAACCCCGTTCAGGTTGCACCTGGGCCAGAGGTCCAAAGGTGAGCGGCAAGGGTGGCGACAACCAATGAGACAACAACACGGAAACACAGACATTGCTACAGACTCGGCGCCATATAAGGGTGCATGTTCGCTCCAGCCTTGGCAGCTAGGGAAGCTGTGTTCCTGACGCTCCTGGAAGAACCCATCGTGTCGAGGATACCTCGAGAGGGGGGGGTCGAAGCCGATGGTCCCCCCCCCGGGAAGGGGTAAGCACCCCAGCTCCTCCGGTTCCGACCCGAGGGATGGGTGTCCGACCCGCGGGCAGGAGGAGTGGCGAACGACCGCGGGGTTGCTCCGGACCAGGGGGGCCGAGAAGGACAGGGCGGCGGGAGGCGGTGCTCTCAGGCGGAGGCTTGAACAAGCGCGCCCCCCATCCGTGGACAGGGAAGGAGGAGCGGGGCCACCTGCGACGAGCCGCTGTGCCAAACCCTCATCCGTCGTCCCCTCTTCAGCCCTCCCACCCTCCCACCCTCCCGGATTGTCCTCTGCGATCACGCCGTTGTGTTTTTCATCCCCGTACTCCTTCCTCATCCTCTTCCATATCCTCCTTCAATCATAGTTCGCCTCCTCCTCCTCCTTCCCTCTTCCCCCTCCTTCCCCCCTCATTCCTAATCATCATCCCTCCCTCATCTCCTCCGCCGGGCCCGTCGCCATCCCAAAACAGCCTGCTCGTCTTGCCTTTCGGGGAAAACGCTCGTAATTCCACCAACCCTGTGGACGAAGGTGGTCTAACGATGTCTTTCCTTCCTCTTACAAGCCAGATTTCCTTCGGGGGGTTGTATCCTCCTTCCTTTCCTGCATATTTTTTGGTGGGGGGTGGAGGGGTGCGATATGCCAAAGGGTCCTTGTTCGCCCAAGATGGCTCCAAGAGGGCCTCCGATGCTCCAAGATGATCTCCACAACGGCTCAAGATAGCCGAAGATGGTTCCAGGCAGCTTCCGACATACCTCCAAGAGGCCCGACGAGGGCCACAAAACGGTTCCAAGTGCTCTCGGGGCCTTTCACCCCCCCCCCCCAAGAAGCTCAAATTCCACAAGCGCCGACGGAAAATCCATGATGCTTGCCTTCTCGGCTCTTCGTTCCCGTTGCGCTTGACATCAAGATTGCCCCAAGATGGCCCAAGAAAATTCCACAAGGGGCTCGAGAAGCCCTCCAGAGCGCCCCAAGAGAGGCCAAAGAAGTTTGAAGGGGGCCGGAAACCCAGCCAACAGCTTCGCCTCAGGCGAAGTCAAGCTCCAGCTGTTGTATCGTAGTAGCGACAGTCCCAATAGGAGAGGTGATGCCATCTCAAGCAATAGGAAGATCCTTTTGGTCTCGATAGCAATTGTGTGCCTCGCGGTGAAGCACAGTCAAATCTAGGCGGCCGGCCGCTTTGAGCCAATGCGGCCGCGGGCGCACGCTCGCTTCCACTCCTTACGTCCCCCAGCTCGCTTTAGTCGGGGGAAGAGGGAAACGAAGCGTGAGCCCGACGCCCCTATACAGCAAGCACAATTCAGCAGCTAACACACACAAGGACAGGAAAGGAGACGGGCCCAAAATAAGGTGGACCCGCCAGCAAGTTGCCTCACGAATGTATGACATACTCATCAGGCGGCGTCAGAACTTGATGTCTGGCCGGCCCGATATGTCGTATGTCTCTTCAGGTCATGTTCGAAGGTCTGTATACCTCCCATGACTTGTAGGGGTATATCTCTGTCGATGCTCTCCTCGGCGTAGCCATCCGCAGTCATGTCGCGGGTATCGCACCACTGAAAACTGTGCACGATTCCACGCTCCATCATCTGACGTATCCAACTGATGTGTCCAAAAGGGTACACTCAGTCGGAGTGATCAAATCTTTGCTTGACAAGGACTTAAAAACAGACTCAGCATCAATGGCCAAAGTGACCTTGATGCTCAGGCCACCCAACTCGAGTATATCTTTCAACTGAGTGGGCGCGAGCGGCCCTGCGTGGAGCTCGTGCAGAGTCACAATCGTGGGATAACAGTCCTCCACATGACGGGCTGCTGCTAGTGTCTCTGCTGACTAGCTCGAGCGGACCTGCAAGCGGTGAGACTTGTAGTGCGCGTCGATCAAGTGAACGACAGGCTTACCAAATGACGTGTTTCCACGTCGTAGCAAGATTGCCCCGCGAATACCATCGCCTTTGGCGTCGTCGTCGGCCTCTCCACTCAAGCGTCGGTAGCCTGAGTCGCTATGTAAGTCGACCTCACCCGTGGGGTTCATCGCCTGATAGACGATCTTTTTTCGGGCAGGCCTGTAACTTTCTGGTGATCGCGCTCAGTCGTCGCACCTGAATGTTGGTCGGTTCTTGGACACGCTGTAGAGATACAACATGCACCATTAACCGCGCCTGGGTGATCAGTGCGCATGCCAGCGCACCTCTGGGACTGACGAACATGTCTGCCAACATCTTGGTTGCTTGAGCGCCAGCGTCAGCGCCGGTTAGTTCGAGATGTTGTATAGGACAGAGCTGTTTGATATATTCATATTGATCCAAGGTAACATTTCCGTCCTCGTCCTTAGTGTATCTCACATCACAGTTAGTATACGTGTGCTCGGTGAGTTTACACTTACCGAAAACATTCTCAACGCATTTGCCATTTTTGTCAATGGTGTCCTCAGTGCCCGCCATATTGATATCATCAACATGCTTGGCCGTGAGCAAAGTATTGCTCGTCTCGAACCCCTCGTCGTAAGACGTGGGTCGGAGGCCAAATCCTCTGGTGGTTCCCCTGGGCTTAAATGAGAAAGCCCGTGGGGCGTCCTTAGTGCCTGTGCCCGGTTTCAATCACTGCAGGCAGTGCTTTGGTCGTAATTCTCAAATTTTGGAAGGGCACGGAGCACAGTGGCCGATCCAGGCGGCAAAGTAAAGCACGCCTCGCGTTCCTTTTCACCAGTTGCCTCAGCGAGTTCCTGATAGGTCAGTCCCTTCAGGAAGGCCATCTTGATGTCGAGGGAAGCAATGATCCACTGCTTCTTGCACGCTGCCACGCTGGCGAGCAACGTCTGACTCGACCTTCTTGCAGTTCCCGAAAATTCTTCTACGTCGAAAGCTTCAAGGCCCATGAAGCCTCGAAGTACCAAGCGAAGTCGGATGGTACGTTCCATCTCGCCCTTTTGGTTCTTCGCGGATTTCTATTTGTATACGTACCTCGAAGTCATGATGCTCGACGTTTTGGCTATTTCCTGCATCTTACAGCATTTGTTGTCGAACCATGTCTTGAGCTCAGTAAAAAGGGCCTTCGATATTTTCTCAGGATTCGCCTGGATGCCAGCTTTGGCGAGGAGGTCGTCTTCCATGACGACCGCAGCTCGCTTTGCAGCGGCGGTAGAATATACTCGCATAGCGGTCACCCGGTCGGCATCTAATAGCATGTGTTGCTGCTCGGACAAGACTACCTTTGACATTTCTGTCGTAAAGCACAATTCAACGTATCGACCGTTTTCGCCAGAGTCGAGTCCGTAGCTGTCGTCTTCGACCATGGTGCACAGGGGGGCGTAGTACGTCTCCTCGGTATCGGGATCGCGAGTGCGTCCCCGCTTCGGCAGGTGCCCCCGCTGTTCATCATCTACAGTGATCAGCGCACCCTGATCAGGAACCATATGTGTGAGTACGGTAAAGAGGTCCTGTAGTGGAGCTGCCTCCAACAGTTCTCTGTCCTCTTGCAATTCTGCGCACCGCACCTCCGTAACATGTGACTCAAGATCAGCTTCTGATTCCTCGCAGATCGTAGAGAGCCGTCCGTCATCATGTTCTGGTTCGGCTTCTGGAGCCTCTTTTGTGGCTCCTTCAGGTGTCGGCGCATCAGCCAAATCCTCAAACTTTGACATGCCCTGATCGAAGCCTGCCTGAGATTTAGTGGACTTCAGGCATTGGATGATTCGTGAACGTGCTGGTCCAATTATGTCATGTATATTCAGAGCAGTACCTTCTGCTTCATAGTAGTAAAATCATGGATCCACATCGTTGTCGTAATGGACCAATGTGCAGCTGTCAGCATAAGTAACCAGAGGTAGCTTGTGGATACTCTCGGCTGATCTAACCGAAACTGCGTTCTCAATGCGAAAGAAGTTTCGGATGAGATATTGTAGGGCCAAGTGCACCTTTGGGGATAGACGACTTGCAGTCGTCATCTGAAGCGTACCTGTCTTGGTCCGCACATAGCCAAATGTCAGGGCAGGTCTCCCCGCTGACAGGCTGGCTACGAACGTCAACATTGTGCGTGGCGCAGCGTTGTCGGAGCCAGTCTCTCGGGCTATGAGTGCTTCAATACATATAACGAATGTCTTGCATCGCCGTATTGTACTTGAACATCTCGATTGCCTACTCGGATGATGACCTGACCCCTGTCGGGGTCATTCCTTACGACTGGGAACGGGCCGTTCCAGCCTCCCCAGTCATCTTTCGCAGAGGGCGATGGTAATCGACCAAATCTCCTTCGTCATAATAGTGCTGACCTGTAATTGACGTCTGCGAGCGTGGGGCACAATTGGTCTTAGCTACTGCCGTGGCCTGTGTGATCGCTTCAATACGTACCATGCGTATCGTCTGTTCACCAGAATGACACGATGTTTCTGTCGGCTGCTCGTGGTCCAGAACATGAAGGTCA